GAGAGAGAGAGAGAGAGAAGTTGTAGTCGGTTTAGAGATGAAAGATGTCATAGCCCTGAACTCTGAAAAGAGGAAAAAGGACGCCGCCCTCGGGATTATCTGCGTGGACCTGATGGGCCAAGGTAATTTAAATTCAGAAATTCATTCAACTTGTAAAAAAATAAAAAATAAAAAAAAATTCAGGAATTCATTCAACTAGATCTGTCTGGATTCGAACTTACGTCTGCATTTTAACAGTTCATGGCTGTAACGAGTGAGCTGAATGAGTTGCTGGGTGCGTTGCCGCGTAATGTTTTTTGCCTTTTTCCCTGAAAAAGACTGGATTGGCTTTCCCGCCACATGTCTTCAAAAGTGCTTCGTCTTCCACCGGATAGAACGCAGGGTCATTGCGAATGTATACAAGCTATTTTCCGGTCGGATACAGTTATGATGACGGTGGGTTGGGTTTGGGGGAAGATGGTAGTATAGTAAGCACGCCCTCAGAGAGAGGAAAGGGAAGGGAAAAAAAAAAAAGAAAAAAAAAAGAAAAAAAAAAGGAAGAAGGACGTGTGCAACGGACTGCCCGAGCAGATGATGACATGAGGACAACGAAGTCAGAACGGAGCCAGGCCAGACGCCCGTGCACAAAAAATCCCGAAATCCCGAAATTTATTTCACCAAGACAAGATATAATCATATAAACGTCAACGAGCACTGCCACCGGCAGCTATGGTAATCATAGCCGGCTAGCAGAAGTATTTCAGCAAGATGAGAGCAGATGATGTGGCGTCACCGAGCAGAAGTGTTGATGAACAGATCAGGAGTGCAATAATTCTCGACCAGATCAGATGGATACGATTAGTATGTGAGGGCCGACAGTCTTCCCCCGAGTAGAATGCATGGTCTTTATAGCTGTACATGGGCCAACTTTCAGTCCAGTTACACGGATAAGAACCGTGCGTTCACTTCCAGTGAAGAGTGTTAACTTCTTTTCTGTTCTTTTCTTTTCTTTTCTCCTCCTCCTGCTGCTGCTTCTCCTGTAGTCTCCTCCTCAGCCCCCATCTCCTCCATCTCTGCGCATGCCTCCTCCTCCTCCTCCTCCTCCTCCTGCTCCTCCTCGTGCTGCTGCTGCTGCTCCTCCTGTATGTCGTCTCCTCCTCCATCACCTCCATCTCTTCTCCGCCTCCTCCTCCTCCTCCCTCTCCCCTTTTCCCCCTCCGCCTTCTCTTCCTCTCCCCCTTCTGCATATCTCCTCCTCCTCCTCCTCCTCCCTCTCCGCGTTCTCGTCGTCCTCCTCTCTTCCATCTCGTCTTCGAAGCAGATTGCTGTGAAAATAGAAAAAAGATCTTCGTATATAACCACCAGTACATGGGCCCCAGGCAACTGGAGAACCTGTTGTTTTGAGCCTCTCCGAAAATTTAGGACCCCGAGCGCCGGGGAGGCCTCCAAATGGGCCTCGCGGCCGATTGCTGGCATGTACTGCTCTGCTTTAAGCCCAAGGGTATTTCTTTTGCAACTCCACCTGCAGTAGGCGTCTATCACTAGCAATCGCCCTTCTTCCTCCCGCAACTCTTTCATTAATTAAAATTCTAACTTTTTTTTTCCTCCTTCTTCAAAAGCCCAAAGAAAAGGGTTTAATGCTCCTACATCCCCCATAGGCTAAGCATGGGTAAGGTTAATGCAACTAGATCATTTAAGATCCCGGTAATCTCACTTTTTTTTTTTTTTTTTTTAAGGCGTAATCTCACAAAATAACACTCGTGCATATTGAGCTAGCTCGTAATGGTACTGGCCTTCGAAGATTTTAGACATGTCGGCAGACTGGCCTAGCTCCGGTGGTACACCCCTGAATTGTTGAGACATGAATCAGACTCAAGTTGGAATCCAGATACCTTCAGATGAAGAGAATAAGATCATTCTGAATTGCTCTGGGGCCGTTCAGTTCAATGATGAGATCTAAAGGCCGTC